CCAATTTTAAATTTTCAAGGTTGGCGACGCCTTTTATCGCTGACGGAAACACGGAGAGTGGGGATCGCTGCATGTACACGGGCAGTTCAGATGGGGGCACAATGTGGACGGATCGATGCAGTAATGACAATCCGTGGCATGCCTGGGAATTTAGAAGTGTGGGAGGGGATAATTTCCTTCTCGTGCATAAAGTAACGGGGCGATGTGCAATTCCAGTCGGAGGAGTGGGATCCGCCATTAAAACGATCACTTGTGATGCGGGGAATCCGAGAATGATTTGGACTGTGACGAATGGTGTTTTATTTTGGGATTAGTTTCCCATTTGTAAAATATGGAGGCCACGTGGTGAACATAACAAATAAATTGACATTTTAAAATGGAGGTGTATGTGTGTAACAGACAAAATGAAATTATTCAGCGGCATTCTCAGTAATAAGTGGATGAGTTTATTTTCAAATTTTGCAGACATTTTGGAACATCAATGCTGCAATCCTTTTTATGAAGGCGTTTAAAATTACTTTTCATCTCGAGAAATCTTCATGTGTATGTAAAAATGTGTCTGCAGCGGTTCCCACTTAGAATCAAAGAACAGTTGAAATTTACTACTTTAAATGTAAGAATTATAATCGCGATATATGTATGTATAGTATATCGTGGTTGGTTTTGGTCGCCAAATTTTTCGCAAACAATATAAGTCTCATATTTTCTGTCGGACTCCAATAACTTTCAAAATTGGATACTTAAAAGTTCCTCAATTTTGCAATACAGTACAGATAGCCTTCATTAAGAAGTTTTAAACATATTCGAAACGACCTGAATTAGACAGTGGTATATAACTTCGAATTCGCAGAACCTATAGTCCTCTGTACGGCAACAATACTTACAAACAAGCCAAAACGATTTGTACAACAATCATTCTTAAAAAATATATATAAAGCTTCGGAATGTATTCCATTAGAATAATTGAAAGACTACGTATTTGCATTTGCATTTTGTATTTATTTCATAACTCTTCCAAGCCGAGGCTCATAGAGTTACATAATATAAGTAAATAATATAAATAAAATATTTAATATCTAAAAAATACTAATATTTTAAATGAGTTCTACATTAATAAGTTAGTTAAGTGAGTTTAAAAATTTTGCATACGAAGTGAATGACATAATATTAGTTGACTAATTAAATAATTAAATTCCATGTTTGGTTCGAAAATGATTAAAATATCTCTGAATAAACTGTACTTGTAAAACTAAATATGTATAAGTTTTTAGGCCATATTTCCCAATTCAATGTCGATTGGATTATTGTCTCGAATTCGGTTACACTTTACGCATTTAAAAAAGAAACTGCACATTAATCCTACGAAAGACTACGTATTCCATGTATTTACACACTACGACTAAATTAACTTAAGTACATACATTACGAACATTATAAATATTTCAGAGGGTAGAAATACTAAAGTAAGCCTGCCAAGCCCTCATTTTATATAAGCCTTAGCGTGCAGGAAAGGCTATCCTTTACTAAAGCCTAGTATACAGGTGGGATAAACGTACCGGATAAATGTCTGTAATTCGATGGTAAATTATTAATTCGTAACTTTTATCTGTTCATTTTTGTACAACATTATGTTTTAATAAAATAAACATGTAAAAGTTACCAATTTATAATTTACCATCGAATTACAAAAATTTATCAGGTACATTTATCCACCTGTACCCGCACCTTAAAGACGAAGCCTATCAACTTTCACCTATTATGCTTCTTGATTAAATATTTGGATGACTAAATCCTAATACAAGTATACCAAAGATGGGCGCAAATAAAAGGGTATGAAATCCATTAATTGTAGTAGCTTGCGTATGTACGTGACTTCCAAGAACACACTTAGCCAACTGGCATTAAATCATTACTGGTCAGATTATGTACATATATGATTCTACCTGTTCTATTTTGCAACAAAGAGCATTACCGTAATGTTTGGTAATGACAATCCTGCAAATCTGAAGCAATCTGTCCATCCAGTAGTAAGGTACTATATATGTACAGATTCAATACCACTATGGATGATACATGTATCTTCAAGATTGGTATCTGCAGGTGTTTCTCTACTTATATGTATGTGAATTGGTAAGACTACGAGGTGTCAGATTCCTACAATAGCGCATGCATATCGAAAATACGGTGCTTGGTTCTTGAGACCAAGATTGTATTATATTGTTGTTTAAGTATAGGTACATGTACAGACCGAGTTTTATTTATGTATAATTCAGATTCCAAAAAGTACGTACCACCACAAAAAATTAGTCCGATTTAACCCTTAAGGAGCATGATTAACTACAAGAAATTGCGTTAATTCGGGTACATTCAAGGTTTGTTGTGGTCATGCGGAATTCAGAAGTTTTGCCAAAGCTCGAAAAAACTGAAAAATCAAAAACTTAACATTGCGTTAATATGTAGGAAATGCCAAAATTTTCGACAAGAAAATATTCAAATTTAACATTTGGCATGTTTAGGGGAAATCCATCAAAACGACAAGATTTTACGCCGCGGAGAGAAAATTGTGAAAATCGCTTAACTTCCGGAAACGACAATTTGCTTCGTCCCGCGCATGATTACAATTTTTCAGGACGACTTTTGTCGTCCTCCTGAATCAAACCATTTCCAAGAAAACGACAATTGTCCTACATCCGAATTATATTATTTTGTGTTATCGCTTGATATTTCTAACAATAGCGTTCAACAGCTTATGTTGAGCGTATTACCAATCAGTGGCGGCTTAAGCTATCGCGGGGCCCCTAGTTGACTTTTTTTAGTGATGGACGCTATTTGAGATATGTATGTGCAGTTCATATGCTTATGAAATACATAGATTACTTAGATTTTATAGTACCTTTATTTCTCTGCAACTTTTAATACTACGTTAAACAAAAATATTTTTTAGATTTAATTAAATAACGAGATGTCTACCTTGCGACTGAAAGTTACTGAGGAATTAACGGATAATGAGGAGGTGTGGCATTACCTTAGATTTTTGATCGGACTAGTTTTACAATTGTTCAGGCACAAAACGTATTTTTATACCATATCGTTATGCCGTATTTGTGTGTTTACCAGAATGGGCGTTGTAGAACGCCCGACTAATCTCTACCCGAGAAAACGCGTCTACTTAATTAGACGCGTCTCGGTTGAAGATGATAAGTGCCCTTTCTAAAGTGAAAATAAGTCGCTATTTTGAAGGGAGATGAAAATAATACACTTTTAGAGAGTCGTATTGTTAACTGACAAACAAACTACAATTTTATTCAAACAATTTTACTGGCTAATTGTCAACCAAAAATTAATGTACTTTCTACTGCTAAATTTGAGCCGAGTACTCGGCCGAGCACCGAGCAAAGCTCAGCCAAAGATTAACCTGTGGTCATCAAGTAATTCAAACAAACTAGTGAAAACAAGTAGGACACCAGGCTTGCTATACCCAGATTTGTAATTTCAAAACTCAGAACAGAAAGCAAAAACCACCAAACTTTTAGTTTTCAAATAAAAACGTTCTTTTTTCCACAGCCAACTTACAAGGTAGAGGTTCGGGAATCCACCGATTCCGGATTTTTATTTTAAAGTTAAGAAATCCATGACTTATGCATGTTAGCCCTAGTTTCGAACCAGTAGTTATTTGTATCTATTTAAAAAGACGTGTCGAATAACGCATGTTACAAGAAAAATATCGAACGACCAAATTTGGCACAACATTATGGGCACCTTTGGTGCGTAAAATTGCATTGTATGAGTTCCGTTGCCGGAAGAAAGTGTTATCAAATTGAAAACAAAAATTGCGAAAATACTCGGCCGAGTGGAAGAAAATACTCGGCCGAGTTCGAGTAGTGAAAATACAGGCCGAGTCGGCCGAGTACTCGGCCAGGCCGAGTACTCGGTGCATCTCTAGTTATCTTGCGGGCGTTATCAGAGGGAGGTTATCTTGGGGTGGTTATCTTAGGGATGTTATCTGGGGGATGGTTATCTTAGGGAGGTTATCTGGGGATGGTTATCTTAGGGAGGTTATCTGGGGATGGTTATTTTAGGGAGGTTATCTTGGGGTAGTTATCTTAGGGATGTTATCTGGGGGATGGTTATCTTAGGGAGGTTATCTGGGGGATGGTTATCTTAGGGAGGTTATCTGGGGGATGGTTATCTTAGGGAGGTTATCTGGGGGATGGTTATCTTAGGGAGGTTATCTGGGGGATGGTTATCTTAGGGAGGTTATCTGGGGGATGGTTATCTTAGGGAGGTTATCTGGGGGATGGTTATCTTAGGGAGGTTATCTGGGGGATGGTTATTTTAGGGAGGTTATCTTGGGGTAGTTATCTTAGGGAGGTTATCTTGGGGTAGTTATCTTAGGGATGTTATCTGGGGGATGGTTATCTTAGGGTGGTTATCTGGGGGATGGTTATCTTAGGGAGGTTATCTGGGGGACGGTTATGTTAGGGAGGTTATCCTACGGAGATTATCTTGGTGTGGTAGCATGATGGCTGTTATCTAAGGGAGGTGATCTGAGGGCTGAGGCCGCCAGGCCGGGTGACCTTAGGTGGCTAGGCCGAGCCGAGCCGAGCCGAGCGGAGCCAGCCATTCAATTTTGAATTTGACATTCAATTTGATCTTCGACGCTCCGGTGACCGGGTGGGGGAGGCTAAAGGTCACACATGTCGAATACACGTCAGACGCGTCAATTCTAACTGATTTTTAACGCTGAGCACGAATTTGATACTCAATTTGACCTTGGGCGCTCCGGTGACCGTGTGGGGGAGGCTAATAATGTCTTAAAGGTCCCACAGGGTTAGAATGTCATCATGTCTAGCTTTTTTAAATATTTTCCACTTTCACGTCCGTTACAAATTTCTTGGACTTACGTCTACAACAGAGAGTTTCAGCTAATGATACAATGAAGTCAAAAAAATAAATAAATAAAGATTTAAATAAGTCCCGCCTGACGGGAGACAGGCTTGTACGCTAGTGGTTTATAAATAGCTTTTTTTATTTCTCTGATACAATTTGTACAGTACATCAGCAGGGAATTGTCATCTGTTCAAAGTCTTATTCTGTAAGCATTCTGTATAACTTGGAGGCGGACAAGTTTCGTCCGCAATATCTGGAGATTTGACGGTATCACGATACATGGCGGAATCGTAATTTGGGGCCAGATCGTTTTGCACTATGCAAATTTGTGTGGAACTGATTACGACGACATGATCCCTTGGAAGTGGAGAATCAACGATGATGTGGGTGGAATCAGGTCCGATTTTCGTTTGATTCGTTCCGCAGTTAATGCTACATATCCACTGCAAATCAAAATACCCAATGTTTGAAGCTGCCATAAGATATTTAATACAAAAACTCTTACAAATTATGCTACCCTTCAGAAGAGTGGAGACACTCTAAAATCTGAATAAAGTAAATTACCAAAAAATCGAGAGGAAACTTTCCACTTTAACTGGTTAACGTTACTCTGGATTTAGTACAGTTTGTTTAATTCAGAATTCGGGCTGGAGTTACTTTTGAAGGGGTAACATTATTTTTAAGAGTGTACAATTGCAAGAAGAAACCTCACCTTAACGTAAATTAGTAAAGCTATAACAAGAATTAATCCAACCCCAGAAATTGCTATAATGGCGAAATTCATTATAAATAAAATAAATTTGTACGCTGCACTTGAACTTCGCTTGTAGCAATGATATGGATGCAATGATGAGAATATTATTATTTGGAACGCTATAAGTGCTACAACTTCATCGGTATAACCATGTCATATGTTGATGTGATACATTATTGTATCGCCGTTTATTCTTTTATCAGTACCTGAACCCAACATGTTAAATTGATATAAGTGATTGAGATATCATGCACACCATACTTTTACTCATTTAGATGGTACGTATACATGCAGTATTCCACCGATAGCGGGGTGAAGCGTCATAGCAATAAAACGTTTGCATAAATATGCAAGTATTTATGGACAGCAGAACTAACAATGCGATGGTGTGAAGTGCAACTATCGGATTTGGCTGAAATTTTGGAATTATGTAGGCCAAGTCAATCCAACGCACGTTTCTTGAGGCAGTTTGTGTGATGGTTGGGATTTCTCAAAAGAGTTCAAAGTTGGAAAAACTTTGGTTGGTTGCATTGACTTGGACAACTCAATTTTAAAATTTCAGCCAAATCCGAGAGTTGCACTTCACACCATCGCATTGTAAGTAAAGACGTAGTTTATTAAGTAGCGCAAGCTACTTTATGCGATCGGTTAGTTAGTCCGTCCATCTGTCTGTCTGTCCGTCAACACTATAACTCGAGAACGCATCAAGATAATCGAAATCGGTTTGCGGCATCATACACATGACCCCAGGGGGAGGATTCGGAAAACTTTTGGACCACACCCTCTCGGCGCCAGGGGGTGTGGTCGCAGTGTGATCGGGGCAAAATGAGATTTATAGCGCAAATTAATCTATGGATGAAATCCAGTTAAATTACGTGTATCTGAGTTGTGCCATACCCCCTCGGCGCCAGGGGTGTGGTCGCATGGTCACAATTTGGGCAAAACATGTTTTTCGGTGTTGTCGACATGTCGAAATATGGCGACTAAGGTCACGGCCCAGCATTCTCAGCATTTTTGCGCTACTTATGTATCGTGCTTTGCCGCACTTTATTATAGGGTGAAACCCTATAATGGGAATGCTCTGTTCGTCTGTCCGTCCGTCCGTCTGTTCCCTCTCTAACTACTGAACGGATTTTAAAAGTGCGCACAAGTTCGAAGATGGGCGTTGCAGGTCGTAAGGTCACGGCGATATGGGGACGACGCCGTGTCGAATAGGTGTCGAATTTTTTGTTTCCACGTTCTTAGACATATTTTGGGACGAGGATTTCAAAAATCGACATTATTTTGACTGACGATGACCGTGTGACCGTGTAGACGTCAAAAAATGTCGAAATTTGTCTAATTGCGTCGTTTCGATCGTTCTAAACGTATTTTGGGGCGGGGATTTCAAAAATCGAAATGATTTCGACGTACGATGACCCCGTTACCGTATAGACGGGTCCACGACTTGGTTTCATCCTATTGCTACATTTCGTTTGCAACGGTTTATTACTCATTTTACTTACTTCTTATTTTCCTGGATTGATTATGTATGACACATCGTAAGAGGATGCAATTAGCAATATGTATAACGAGGTGAGGGTACCTCCCCTCCGACAAGCTTATAGGCGACCCTTCCGTGGGTCACTAAAGTCGTCAGTGCGTGACCAAAATTCGAACATATCCTCGATCTACACCTCATGTATTAGCCTACTCGTAAATTCATTTATTCACATACAGGTTTTTGTCACAGTACTTCAGCCAACGCTACATATTTGGTTCCTTCTATTTAGATTTACACTACTAAAGATAATGTTACCCCTCTGAAAAGTAAATGCAGTCGGAATTATGAGCTAAACATGACCGAATCGTAATTTGGGACGAGATCGTTCTGCACTATGCAAATTTCTAAGGGCCTGGCAGGATCCCGTGGAAGTGGAGCATCAATTGTGGAATCACGTCCCGTTTCCTTTTGACATGTTCTGCAGTTAGTGCCACGGAACAACTGAAAATCGACATATTTGATGTTTCAATTTGGATAGTATTGTAGTAATTAATGACAAAAGTAATTAATTAGATTATTAATTCTAAAAAAGTCTATTGATCTATTCTATTCCCGACTGCTGCTTGTGTCCTGGTTATCCACAATTTTTTTAGAATTTGTTAGGGCCTTAGGCGTATGTATGATTCGCCCATATTTCCGTGTAAGGCGTATATTTGGCGGCCTGGCGTGGCGTCAAACTTAAAAATTTGCATTTTCTACAAATTTCAAACCTTAATAACTTTTTCAGTTTCCAGATAATTTTCCAAATTTTGGGCTTAAAATGACCACAAAGGCTGAGCTCTTAAGAAACAAAAAAAATTGCGGTTCAAGTTTTTCAGAAATTTTTTCGACGAATGCCTAAGAAAATTCCAAAGTTTTGCAAAAAATTAATGACCAATCACAAAATAATCTTTACATTATATAACAGACGCACCTTAATATTTTTCTTTAATAATTATATGTACATTTACCCACATGATTAGATATGTGAGTATGTAATTAAGAAACGTAGTTAATTTGTAATTTAATATTTAATTAGTGTAATTAACTGATTAATTACTTGATCTCGTCGAGTCGAAATAAGTAACCAGCAATTAATCAGATACCCAAATAATTAAGGAACACAGGGACACAATATAAAAACAAAACGGAAACCTCACCTTAATGTAAATTATCAAAGCAACAATATTAATTAGTACACAGCCAGAAATTATTAAAATTGCGAGATTCATTCTAAATTTTAATTAAAAATAAATTTAATTTGAATTTGAATTTATTTAATTTACTTTTATGAATTGTTGCCCTGCACTTGAATGTCGTGTGTAGCAATGATCAGATGAGAGTATTAGAGACCATAAAAATTGGCATGTACAATATACGAAGTAACACTGCATGGGTTATGTTAACACATGATGTGATATAAACCATTTGGTAATAATGTAGATAAGTTACATCAATCATTTTTGTCTGCATGGACGACTAGGCCATTGGGCAGAATATTTCGTATGCGTGAAGTGAAGATTACACGGGATAAGAGAAATCCTAAATAATTCGTGGAAAGGATTTTGACACGTTGGTCTTCATATCTTCTCACTTTATGATTCCGTATATCTTTTTGTCGCATGAGTAGGGTAAATGTATCAGTATATTTTATTACTCCGTGTGCTGTTTGTTCCACTGGACGAATCTGACACACTCTAAGAAAACTAGTATTAACTGATTACTTACCGGAATGCGCTCAACTGACGTGGAAATAACGAGCAGTGCTGTCATATAAGTTATAGTAATGAAAAATTTACCACTGAGAAATAAACCACTACCAATCCGGTAGGCAATTATTACACTGCAGATAGTCTAGTATAAGTCGGGGTAAATTTGCACCGGTCGCACTCTGGTCCGGATTACATGATTTACTTGCCAAAACCTATAACTCTTTCCATCAATCTCGGGTTTGCGTGCTTTTTTAAAAATCCTGCATGATGTTATGTACAGGGTGGGAACACTTACTGAGACCACTTAAGAATATACATAGAAAAAGATTCAATAATGCGAATGCCGCGAAATTTGCATATGTCGTTGGGTAGATATTCCACCACTAAGCATAATTTTTTGAAAAAGTTTTATTCAAAAATGCCAAATTGGCACCCACCACAGTTGGACGTGTTGTAAAAACGCTTTCCAAGGAGAAATACTCCCAAAGAGAGATTGCTAAGAAGTTAAAAACCATGGATTCGAAATAAGTAAGATATTTTTGTATAATGTGATTCAAGGTGATGGAATTCAGCGTGATGCAATAAACCGAGGTGTACAGAACCACCCAAATGACCCCATAGTGAAAAGGACGAAAACGCTTATTTCTCGCGTCCAGAGGGAATCGAGAAAGAAACCCCCCAAAGACAAAGATGGATTGCAAAAGTTGCGGAAATCAGCACACCGACAATCAGGTGAGTCATTTCTCAAGATTTGAACAAAGAAGTTCGACGCAAAAGGAAGGTAAACGTCTACAAGCCATCTCACATTGCAAATCGGAGGACCACTCAAGAAAGCTTTATACAAACCACCTGGCGAAGGATAGAAGTGAGTTTGTTGCCACAATAGATGAGGCTTGAGTCTATCTTGATTACAGCCAGGAAGAAAGAACAATTTGTACGTCGACAAGGGTGAAATAATTCAAGATAGTTGAGCGTTGCACGGGCGCGGAAGCTACGGAGAATGGTGGTCTGCGTTCTGACTGGCTGAGGACCAGTTGATCTTATCAAAGTGCCCCCAAAAGTAAAGATTAATGCACAAGTATACATTGACAGTGTTGTAAAACCATTAGTGGTAGTTATTCTTCCGGGACTCTATCCTGGCGAGCTTAACACGCTATGACGATAAAGCTTCTTCAAAAAAAGCTTCAAAAAAATTTTCCGATTTTGCCATAAGGACAATGTGAAATGTGTGCAAATATTATACTATTATGCTGATAAAACCTGACCTGAAATGCAAAAAGGATTGGTCTGGAATCGGATCAATGAACCGCAATAACTTTGTATGCTCAATCTCTCCACATGGGTTGTCATTCTCTCCCATGTTGGCTGTCTACATGCAGTATAACTTGGTTATACGGAGTATAACAAATATTTACGAAGCACTCCTCTCAGAACCTTTCCGGGTGACGATCAGGCTCACGGCTTGTTCGGGGAATCGAACTCGTTGCCCAGAGATTAGGTACGAATATCCGACAAAGACTGGTGACGAGACGATTTATCTTCAATTTATTCAGAATGTGGGAGATAACTCGGGTTTCGCTATTTTTATGTATATTTTTTAAGTATTAAATTTAGTGAATAATTTTTGCTCATTTAAAACTCATTTAAGTTTAGATACAATTAAAAAGGTAACATTTTTTGCACTTATTTGAAACTTCTCAACCCAAATTTATCTGGGAGTCCAAAAATGCGCAAAGATTAAATTTTGCACAAGTTGGTGAATATTTATAGCGCATTGTAAGCCAACTCATCTCAACTGATTTAAAACTCACAATTGCCTTAACTGCTCAACATTTCTAAGTTGACATATTTAAAAAAAAAATATATACACAATTAATGGGATCCAAGCCAAACTTCGAATCCCATATTTCTTTACACGGTAATCATCACAGATAAATATTGTCTTACGCAAACAAATTGCGCGACTTATTCAGAAATACTCCGACCGAGATGCATACGTACATTCATTCGTAAATATTTAATATAAACAGAAATGAGGTCACTCTCGTATTCTCAGATTGATGCTGGACTTGCCTGCTTGATTTTTTTGTATTTACCAAAATTGTTTAAAGAACCCCATTTCCACAGTTTGATTGCCGATATCAGCACTACATTTAAAATCAGAACAATGAACGATAAAAAATCAATATGGAGTAGAGACAAAGCAAATCTTTGTTTAATTAATGATGTACTTGAAGCATTTATAATGATAAGTAATCCAAAATTAGTACATTGCTTGAATCCGGTCAGTTAAACATTTTTTTCAGAGCGATAGGAAACAGTATGCAAATATTACTCACGATTAAGCAGTATTTATAACCGACAAAATCTCTTATCTCAAAAGATAATGTACAAAAAGGGCAGTACTTAAGCATTGATTTGTTTATATTTCTTTCCAGTTCGATGTATGGCGTGGTTTACAACAAAGCATTTCTAAGGTACCTTAAATCAGTGCAATTTTGAGGGAAAAAGGTAGTTAACAATTAAATTTTATGATCATTATGTACCATATACAGAATTACTACTTTTTAGCTTGATTTTTTAATACAATTCACTAAAAAATTCGGGCGTAGTATGAGAAAAGGTTCCGTTCTTACAAGGGACACTATTAACATGGGTGGCGTGTCCAGGGTACCCACTATGTTTTTGGGTGCGAGTATAACCGTCCAACGAAAAATATTTATCTTCCAACCAAAAACGATAATTTTTGCAACCTTATAATTTGCGACCAAACGATTTTTTTAATCCAACCAAAATGCAAAATAATACAACCAGTAAATAAAACATCCAACTCGCAGATTAACTAATTTAAAGTAGTTAAAATTTTTAAAACGCAACCAAATTTCAGTACGTTCACAATTAAAAAGAAAAACGTTTGTATTTAGTCAACAACCATAGCTTTATTTGCAATCTATTTCCGACCCTTTTAAGCTTGCATCCAATTCAATCGATTTTGAGATTCGCTGGGACTGGAATTATTTTTCTGATGATACCAATTCCAATTATATGCTTACAAATATACTCCTTTTTGAAAATTGGACATGAACATGTAAAGGAAATCCAATTAGATAAGCTACAATTAACAATCCATAATTTTGATTTACTAGAACTAGAAGTATATGATTCAAATTTCTTCTCAGTAATTCGCTTTATTAGTCGTAAGATTCTGTCAATTTCCTCCTTTCGTAAACACTGGCGATTTGCTGGACAAACACACTTAACTAAAGTATCCTGTACGTTTTTGAAGCGAACGCTGGTATTCTCTTTAGCCCAGGTATAAACATTAATAGATTTGAAATATAGGGCGTTGAATGAAAAATTTTTGGGGTTGGGAAATCTGGACTTATATCCTGCGACCAATAGCGGATTAGATTTATAATGCAGTCAAAAATTTGACGCAAAGGAACTCTTTCCCTACATATGGTTTCCTTTTTAGCCCGACCCAGGGCCTATGTACCCGTGATGTCCGTCTGTCCGTCTGTCTGTCTGTCTGTCCGTCTGTCTGTCCGTCTGTCCGTCTGTCTGTCCGTCTGTCCGTCTGTCTGTCCGTCTGTCCGTCTGTCTGTCCGTCTGTCCGTCTGTCTGTCCGTCTGTCTGTCCGTCTGTCTGTCCGTCTGTCTGTCCGTCTGTCCGTCTGTCTGTCCGTCTGTCTGTCCGTCTGTCCGTCTGTCTGTCCGTCTGTCTGTCCGTCTGTCCGTCTGTCTGTCCGTCTGTCTGTCCGTCTGTCCGTCTGTCTGTCCGTCTGTCTGTCCGTCTGTCCGTCTGTCTGTCCGTCTGTCTGTCCGTCTGTCCGTCTGTCTGTCCGTCTGTCTGTCCGTCTGTCCGTCTGTCTGTCCGTCTGTCTGTCCGTCTGTCCGTCTGTCTGTCCGTCTGTCTGTCCGTCTGTCCGTCTGTCTGTCCGTCTGTCTGTCCGTCTGTCCGTCTGTCCGTCTGTCTGTCCGTCTGTCCGTCTGTCTGTCCGTCTGTCCGTCTGTCTGTCCGTCTGTCTGTCCGTCTGTCCGTCTGTCCGTCTGTCTGTCCGTCTGTCTGTCCGTCTGTCTGTCCGTCTGTCCGTCTGTCTGTCCGTCTGTCTGTCCGTCTGTCCGTCTGTCTGTCCGTCTGTCTGTCCGTCTGTCTGTCCGTCTGTCCGTCTGTCTGTCCGTCTGTCCGTCTGTCCGTCTGTCTGTCCGTCTGTCCGTCTGTCTGTCCGTCTGTCCGTCTGTCTGTCCGTCTGTCTGTCCGTCTGTCCGTCTGTCCGTCTGTCTGTCCGTCTGTCCGTCTGTCTGTCCGTCTGTCTGTCCGTCTGTCCGTCTGTCTGTCCGTCTGTCCGTCTGTCTGTCCGTCTGTCCGTCTGTCTGTCCGTCTGTCTGTCCGTCTGTCCGTCTGTCTGTCCGTCTGTCTGTCCGTCTGTCCGTCTGTCTGTCCGTCTGTCTGTCCGTCTGTCCGTCTGTCTGTCCGTCTGTCTGTCCGTCTGTCCGTCTGTCTGTCCGTCTGTCTGTCCGTCTGTCCGTCTGTCTGTCCGTCTGTCTGTCCGTCTGTCCGTCTGTCTGTCCGTCTGTCTGTCCGTCTGTCCGTCTGTCTGTCCGTCTGTCTGTCCGTCTGTCTGTCCGTCTGTCTGTCCGTCTGTCTGTCCGTCTGTCCGTCTGTCTGTCCGTCTGTCTGTCCGTCTGTCCGTCTGTCCCTGTCTGTCCGTCTGTCTGTCCGTCTGTCCGTCTGTCTGTCCGTCTGTCTGTCCGTCTGTCTGTCCGTCTGTCCGTCTGTCTGTCCGTCTGTCTGTCCGTCTGTCCGTCTGTCTGTCCGTCTGTCCGTCTGTCCGTCTGTCTGTCCGTCTGTCTGTCCGTCTGTCCGTCTGT